CCGGTATAAACAGCAACAGCAGCGAACAGTGCTTCCGGCTGGGGCAAGGCGCCAGCGCTTTTGTGGAAGGGAAAGAGTTGAATGAAAGGAGAGCTGGAGAAAAGGAAGAGAAGGACAAGGACACGTGAATCCTGCATTCGCCTCAGTGAAATCGTTACTGCTCGCGCTCGCCAGCAGCCGCCACGCGCTCGCAATCCATCAAAAATACAACCAACTGTTCAGAAATATGGGAAATGAACTTCGTTCATCGGCACAGTGGCATCTTCCAAGTGGAATTTCGAAGTCTCGTCAGTTTTTCCAATTTTTTTTCAATATACAGTTAAAGAAGTTTGCGTTTTTTCGTTTTGACACATGCAGCACAAGTTCTGCAGCGCGAAGGCTTCTAGCTTATCCACATTCCTGCGGTGTGATCCACTTTCTCGCTTAGCAAAAACTGCTTCCTCTTTTTCGTCCCAAGCAAAGATAAACTCAATACAGAGTTTCAGAATAGCGCACCGCGCCCTTGCGCTGCGGTCGCTGCCACTCTGCATGCGTGAGTCACCGGTGACGTTCGCGGCCCGCCCACAAAAAAAACTGAAATAGCTGCCGCATGTGCGGCCCGCAAACGCTGGTTTCGAGACTATGGTGTCACTACGATGGTGCGTTGTGGTTTACAGGAAGGGCAAATGCTATTCTAAAACTCATATGGCGCCTGCTATGCTAGCGATGCCCACAGCCCCTACAAACGTTATTCTAAAGCTCCCTATTGTTGTAGCACAGCAGCGCGAACGCTGACTTGCTTTGTGGACGTGATAATTAATCATCGAAAAGAGATGAATACGACTGACAAGGCCTCCTGGAGCGCATGTAGAATGGATCCGAAGTGTATTTCTGTCACCGCCTCTTCTGAAGACAAGAAAGAGCTAAAAAGAAAAATTCCTCGCATTTCGTTTTTCTGCTCCCTCGCTGTCTCAGGTTTTTCGCGTCCATGCTTCCTGCTCCGCAACTCCCACTCTGCCGCCGACCTTGCCCTCCCGTGTTGCCCTCGCCTTTCGCCTTGGCACTTGTAAACCAGCATCGTCGGTAATTCAACAAAAAAAAAAAAAAAGAAAAGAAGATCGTCCTTTCGTTTTTTTCTCCTCTCCGCATCGTTGCGCGTGTTCAGAGAAGCAAGGCATTCATTCGCTGTGTCGTCTGCTTGCGTTCCGCTCCGGTGGTCGCTATGGATTTCAGAACATCAGTTCGCTGTACTGAAGCCTTGTTAATATAACGTGGAATTAAATTAGCGCTCGTTATTCTGAAAGGTTCGGTATTCTGAAGTACGGACTAGATAAATAATTTTACATTGAAACTATTAGCAGTCAGCGCAGGATTTTTTGAATGTTCGTTAATCTGAAAAGTTTGTTAATGTGGGGTTTTTTTCTATCGAGATTTCACTTTATTGAAAATGCTCGTCGACGGAGCACTGAATCGGGTCAGGCTACGGAAGATGATAACAAAGTCCTCTTCCTCTTTTTCTCGGACAGCTTTCCTTTCTCGCTGCAGAGGCGTTGTTACACTTCTCCTTGCGCAGACGAAGCTCGCCGGACGAGTCAGACGTTCTCTCGTTGTGTGCATGGCTTTAACCGGGCAACATGCATGACTTGAGTTCTGGTAGAACATCGGCCGCTGGGTGTGAGGCGCGTGATCATATAGTTGACACCACTCAAACGGTCGATGATGACATGCGGGCCATCGTAACATGCCAAGAACTTGGTGCATAGACCACTTTTCCCTGCTGGCGTCCACAACCACACAAAATCACCAGGGACATAGCTTACAGGACGACGCTTACTGTCGTATCGGGCCTTTGACGGGTTCTGGGAAGCCAGCATGCGTAGCCGTGCCAGTGGACGAGATTCCTCCACCGGACAAAGTTTCTCAGCCACTGATAGGTTGGCCGCGGTCGTCAAAAGAAGGATGGTATCTAAAGTGTAGTGAGGTGGACGAGCGTAGAGAAGAAAGAATAGACTATAACGGGTCGTTCCATATTGAAGGCGTATGTTATAAACAGCCAAACCTCTTCCCAGTTCTTGTGATTGGACGCATGTACATCGAAATCATGTTCATAAGTGTCCAGTTCACACGCTCGGTATGTTAATTTTTTTATGGATGGTTACGTGTTAAATGCCGAAATTTAAAATGGCACAAGCGTAGCAACTGTTTCACTACGTCTGCAGTGAACTGGCGTCGGCGGTCACCGATAATCACTCGGGGCGGCCCGTGTCGCAGGATAAGAGAATGTAGCAAGAACAGACAAACGGCAGCTGCAGTCGCAGAGCGGATGGCAGCCGTCTCGCAGTACCAAGTGTGGTAATCGATGCACACGACAATCCATGGGTTACCTGCAGAGGGTTATGGTAAAGGGCCTAGGGAATCAATGCCCACTTGCTCTAAAGGCGAGCATGCAGGTGGCACAGGCTGGAGTTGACTGGTGGGAACTTGTAGGGTGTGCTTGTGACGCTGACACCTCGGGCAGCTGGCGACATACTGGCCGGTAGTCTGTCGCATTCGGGGCCAGTAAAAACACTCTTTAGCTCTATACAGAGTCCATGTAGATTCTAAATGGCCAGAAGTGGGGTCATCATGCATGGCATGTAAGAAAGAGAAACGAAGACTTCCAGGCACCACGAAGAGCAGTAAAAGCCCAGTTGCAATATTTTAAGACACTTCCCAAGTGTACCTAAATGGCCATTCTCCTAGTCGACGCCCATCGCGAGTGCATCCAACACTGACGTAGCTCTATAGGAAGGGCAACGAAAGTTGTAGTGGTGTCCCACCAGATCTGTAGTGAGGTGAGTAACCTCTGGACTTCCGCCACATACATACCGCCAAAGCATCGTGGCTGCTGCAGCTGGCGATGCGTTTGTTTTGCATATGCTTGTGTGGCACGTGTGCGAGAGCGGACGACACACAGCATGACGTGTGCAAAGCTTTGTGATCACGTGACTAAGTCGGCTAGACTGCTACGTACGTGCCCAACTCTGTACCCACAAACAGGAATGGAAAATTGTTCATATCAATAGCGAGAATAAATTAATCTTGGCACGTGTATTGTACTTGCTGGAACTATAATTAAAGCTTGAAGCTAAGAGCATGCCAACCACAAATATTGTGGCACCACCCCTTTGAGGCCTGACTACACGAACGCCTTAAAGCCCGTCAGTGCGTAACTTTCTGACACGGCATCGTGCCCTCTCCTTATAGAGAGTGAGGTGGAGGGTTTGAGAAAGTATCAAGACTAGTTTTTTTTTTATAATTGCGATACTTATAATAAAATTGGTCATTTTTGAAAATTTTAGAGTGGCAAATTCTAGCTTAGCATGGTGCTTTGAGTCCTTGAAAAACTTGCAACCGGTCCTGCAAAGTCCTTGAATATCCTTGAACTTTTGCTTTGGATATCTGTACGAACTTTTGTAGATATTTTTTTACAGTAAAGTTCTCTTAGTCTACCGTGTGCTGCCATTGTCGTCATAGGCTTCCGCATGGCTCCTTTTCTGGGGGGGGGCAAAGCTTTAGCTTTGTCACAGCCCCCCAACCTTCCTATTATGCCAATGTAGTGAGCTGGCTAATATAGATAGTATTCGCATGCAACAGTCGCTTTAGAAAAGCATTTTTTAAATCCCCAAAGGTCGTGTATTGCTGCAATAAGAAGTTTAAAGACATGTTAGTGCATGCAAAAGTAAACTCTTATTCTATTCCCCAAGTAACACCTTGCTCCCATTCAAGATGCGACACTTGCAATTATCTTCAAGATGATGTGGTAGTTCAAAGCACTGGGAGTGATTATGTCTATCATATAAAATCTAGTTTCACCTGCACTAGGAAAACGGGTGGCTGGGCCTTTGTCAAGCTGTCATTGGACAGCCTTTTTCCCGGCCATCTTTTTCACCTTAAATGTTTTCTTTCTTTCGTGAAAATAAAGTTATTTGGTTGATTGATTGATTGATTATGAAAAAGTTATTTACATGACCAAATGTTCATATTTGGTCATGTATTTGGGCAAAGGAAACAAACACAAAGGCCAAGCAGACAGTGTTGTTGATTTCGTTTGTTTATGTGTTTAGATTCAGGTGCAACCACTCGGATGTGCAAGATCACCAGCTAGCCCAGTTGCAAACACTCTAATTGGTAGAACATTCGACGCCCTCTTCGAACGACGCAGGTTCAGTGTCTGGGGGTGGCAGGTTATCTTTTCGTCCACTTCTTTTTCTTTACACTTACATTACAATTACTCCTAATATCATCCCCGGTAATTTGCTTGGCGTCCTTGTCTGTTAGTTCTCAATAGTTATGCATTTGTTAGACACATAAGCCTTATGAATAGTATTTATAAAAGACGGGAACATAGAGGGGAGAAACTTCAAGACTAGCGCAGTCTCGTGAAATAAAAACTCGCCCAGCGCTGGGTTCGTCTAACACTTCACTGTACTATCTAGTTAGTGTATTGATTGCCATGCACACTTACTTGATTTTGATGTGAATGGGTTTAACCCAAAACTAGTGCCACTGCATGGCACAGGTCGCACTTCAATGTTTGGGAAACTTGTAGTTTGTTTTAGACTGCTTTGATTAGAGTGCACTCACGACATCTGCACTCAATATTATTTTGCATCTAATGCAAGCCCCACTGTTGTTTTCTGTTATTCACACATAAATGACTATGCATTCTGACAGCGATCAGGTAGGTTACTGACATCCGTGTTTGGTGCCTTTGCTGTGCCTTGAGTGTTGCTCTTTTACTGTGCACTAGTTTACCCAGTAATGCATTTAATCTTTACCAGCTGCATTTCGCATTCCTCGCTGCCACAGCCTTGTGACAGTATTAACATTGGTTTTCTGTGCGAGCCATTTGCCCTAAACATACATATTCAGCCCTGTTTGAGCACTAGCCCCATGCTTGGCTTGTTTATCCGTACAGTATTGGCATGTGCACAGTACACCTATTTATTTGCCCCTCTCCTCTTTTGTTTTGTTTACAGTGATGAAAAGCCTGCAATAATAGAAAGTACTGAACCTGTCAGCAATTCGTTAGTATTGGTGCTGTTTTCATTTTGCAGTGTTTTCATTTTGCAGTGTTTTCCCCATGATGAAGCACTATTGGGCTGAAAGTTGACTGGAATTTGTACCTTCTTGATTATTTAGACTAGCTCTAGTCAATATCATTTGCTGCATAGCAAAGGTCATAAAATACAGATACTGCTTAATGTCCTGCTCAATTTCATGGATGCATCCAGCAAACCAGTGTCACAAAAATGAGTATTGGAGAAGGGCAAGGACGAGAAGTATAATTGTGGAACACCAGTGCACCACTCAGTGCAGATGTCCATGCACCAAGCCTCGATGACTCGAATACTTGAGTGACAGCGAGAAGGGAGAGTCCGAAGTAGAGACGGACTGGTCGATGACCTCGGAAGAGGGACCTATTGCTGCTGTCACCCACACCTGCAACCACTAATGGCTGCTATGTCTCTGCGGGAAAGTAGCATGTCTTTGTGGGATAGAGACATGGCATGCTTCTGTAGGAGCAGACATGCCGTGTCTCTGGGAAAGCGTCCAGTGGTTCTGTGCCCTACACTGTCAGCATAATGCCTGAAAGGGCTGTTTGCCGCACCCTCGCTGGATTTCTCGAAACCTGACCACGGCCCCTGCAGGCCTTAGGTGCATTAGCACCCACCAGAAAAAGAGGGAGCCTTGCTCTCCGAAAGAACAACAATCCCCGTGGAAGCTTTGGCTGACAGGAACGACCCCTGAAGCGTCTGTCATTATGCATTTCAGGGGCAGTCATGACTGCATGTTATGAGTCACTTTATTTTAGCCACTTGAAATGTGTTAACTGCATGTACTTTCAACATCAGCGATGTTTCTGTGTTGTTGAGAGTGTACCTGTGTCAGCTGCATCGAGCAGTGAAAAGGTTGGCTCAGGTTTGCGGCTCAGGGACCTGAAAACTAAATGTATATGTATAATAATGATAAACACTTTATTAAGGTGAGACACGGGTCTTAGATTGATGAAAAATGGCTACAAAATTAGTCTTTTGCAAAACTTTTGGGGCGTTTGTACCTCTGAGCACCTACTACCATATGACTGGTGTTAAATTCGGTCGAGAAATGCGATAAAATGGGCCTTCAAAGAACCTCGGCAGCAGTAAAATGCTCCCCAAAAAACTAAATTAGTTCGAACTTCGCGCGTGTGCCAGGAGCATTGCAGGAGGCCGAGCGCCGCCATCTTGAGCTATATTTGAAGCTATTTCCCTTGTGTGTAATTTGCCCTATCACAAAATGGCGTCGCTCAAGAGGAATGGCTGCCAGCGAGGGTTCTCTGAAGGTCATTCTTGGGTTGCTGATTGGCTCTGACTCGATGCGCATTTTGAGTGCGCCATACCGAGGCTCCCATCGGCTGATGTGGCTGGCTAGTTTTTCAAGAGCGCTGTTTCACATTTCTCATTGGCTGGCGTTACCAATGCGTAATTTTTTTTTCTTGCTCATTTGCCATTATGGCTGTCCGATCGTGTACATGTGCTTTTACGCTCCCGCATGTTTCTCGACGCCCCGTGTTCATGCTTTGTGCTGGTCGTTAATCTTCGCGATTGAGATACCCGGAGACTCCCGTCTGAAACCATCCTCACAATGAGCTTTTGGAAGCGATCAAAAGAGAACTCGGAACGAGAAGGCGCCGGCTAGGAATGCACCGTCGGGAGGAAAGTTCGTTGGAGGTGATGCCCATTAGGCAGCTTTATGTTTACGATTCGCTCCGGGTGCAGAACGATTGCCAGCAGTGAAACAGAGAGCACATGCCACGCTCCGCTAACGAAGGCGATTGAGCGAACGGTGAAGGTGTGTCTGCTTGGTTAAGCCGCGATTTTGCAAACACGCTTGTCAGAAACACAAAATCTATACTGTCTTCAGACACTACATCTGCGTGAGGCTTGCGTAAGCAACACTCGTCTCATAGCGGCTTATTACACAAGGCAGCATGATACCTTATATTCAGGTGGTTAATTAATGATTAATTTGCAGGCAGTTATTGACGCAAACTGAACTCTCATAATTTACGAGGAAGCAGTGGCTTTAGTCTCATACCTCATGGTCTTTTCAGGACCCCCCCCTTCCCCTTCAACAACTTGGCATGGTGGGGCCCAGATCTTGCTCTACATCTTGGAATATTCTTTATTGTGAGAGCAATTATATGGACACTCTCGGCTGGATATTGCTGCCGGCATCGCCGTAACTCACCATATATGTATACGTCTATATATTTATGAAAACACAAAGAAAGAAAAAAAAATCCAGGAAATGACTCTGGCACGTGGAATCGAACTTGGAACCTCTGCGTCGTGAGTGCGAGGCGTTAACCACTGAGCCACCGAGAAGCACGTCCTTCAATGTGCAAATGGGAAGCTATTTATGTCTTTCACTTGCTGCTGGTGATGGGTATCTTGTAGGAGAACTATCGTGTTTTCAGCAATAACAGCAAAATGGTGGAAAGAGCGCGTGGCCGCGTGCGCCCTTATTTCCCACACGTACTATGCCTCGTGGATAGGAGAAGGTGGTCGTAAAGCTCCTGAACACAACCTGCGCATCCTTATATCGCGGTTAAGAGCATCTTATGTCTCGGCTGTCCTTAAGCTTTCATGGGAAGGATTCTGTTGTAGTTTCCGGGCACACAAAGGTCACTGAAATCGTTGCACAGTCCCTGTTTGCGAAGAGAGCATGCTTTTCAGACACCGCGAAATAACAACCGAGACGCTTATTCGCCTTCATCTGTACCTGTGAGTACGTTTTGTGCGTTATTTGTGCATAAGAAATGCGGGGCACGTTTCGATCTGCTTACCACTCTGCGCGTGACCCTCCAATTTGTTGCTATCGCATTCATGGCTTCGCCTTTGCAGCAAAGCTGTGACTTTTTTTAAAGTGATTCCTTGGATGACATAAGACACTTTTTTTTGTTTAGCAGGTGAACAGATAGGGAGCATCTAAATAAAATTTATTAAAGATTCCTTTGAGAAATTTCTGCAGGGATTGTCAAAACTTGAAATGGGATGTTCTCAGCTTCACAATTCGTTACGTTTTTGTCAGATAATTTTAATAACTGTTATACAATTGAACTCATAAGGAATCAAACTGTGGAGCTATGCTATTTTTTCTTGGCTAAGCTAAACATACAAAATTTTGTGAACAATAATGTGAGCGAATTACACTTCAGAATTATGAAGCATCAATACAATTGAAAATTTTTATATGATGATGGATATCAGTGTCAATAGCAAAACTCCACATGGCACATTATGGTCTACACCTGTATCTTAAACTGAACCAAAAAATATCAAGATATTGAAAGAAAGTGCCTTCGTCACTCGTTAGAAATGACCTAATTAGACTTCACCTATTTTCTCATAATCTGAGAACTACTTGAGGTACAATAAAACTAATTGCATTTTTGAAAACAGGAGAAATACACATCTAACTTTATTAAAATATCTTTAATAATAAAAATTTCTTTTTTAAGACCTGCGTCTCCCCTTAACTCTTAACTGCCAACCACAAACTGTGTTACGAGTTTGTACCAATGTTTCCAACCATGAGTCATTCTTGTTCGGCCTAATTTCTAGCGTTTTGGGCTGCCAAAGACTTAGCACAGTCGTCAATATTTATGCTTGCAATTTTCAACTCTCAATGACTGTACAGTTGTCTGTTAAAAAAACGCTTATTTTGGTTAAAAAAAGCGCACGAGTGTTTCAAGGTAGTAGGCCACCCCGAAAAAAAGTTGGTAACCGGAGGAGCCAGGATTAAAATAACTGCTTTTTCGAAACAAGCCTGTCTCATTCATCTTGCCTAGTCATTTAGAGTGTAAAATATTGATTACCGTAGTTACTCGATTCTACCGCGCCCTCGATTGTAACGCGCATCCGGTTTCCACGATGAAAAAAAAAAAGTAAGTCATCGATTGTAATGCGCACCCATTTTTCTCGTTGGCCCGCACGATCACACCACTCGGGAAAATGACTCCTTTCGCGAGCGTCTTCTGTTTAAATATGAGGTACGGGGGAAGCTTGGGCCTCTCTGACGTGCAACCGAGCATTGCCATCACTCTAGTTTTACCGTGGCCGATGTCAGCACGCGAACTTGCTTCACCCCCTTCTTCTCGACGGTTGTGGTGCCAGGCATGTCGAAGAGGCGTCTGATCGGCATTCCCGATTTGCCCAGGCAGGTAGCCGTTGTTGTGCCGCGAGTTTAGGACGAACCTCTGAAAACTGTGAAGCTTTTCTTCGTACTCCTCCGGCAACTTTTGGCATATGCCCGTTCGCCTTCGGAGGGAAAAGCCTTTCCTCTTCATAAAGTTGGTTAGCCAGCACCTGCTCGCTTTAAACTGGCTCCGCATTAGCCCTTTTTCTAGGGCTAACTGCATAGCCTCCACTCAGAGCAGTTCTGTCGTCACGGGCCGCTCACTGCTCAATCATATACTCGCCGAGCAGCTCTTCAATTTGCGGAAACCGACCTTACTGTGGTCCACTGAAGCCTTTGCGCGAAGCTTTGCTGTCGACAATCTTCTGCTTTTGTTTCCGCCAGTCCCGCACGCACGTTTCAGGAACTCTGAACGACCGCGATTCGACCCCATTTCCATTCGTTTCTGCACACGCGATGACTTTTCTTTTAAAAGCGGCATCGTGGTGCACTCGAGTTTTTGGAGTCGGCCCTTCTATGCCATCGATGTTAATGCACTACAAGATGACGAACTCCTCAGCACACGTACGAAGTGCCGCACATGGGAAACAAATAGGCAGGAATGGGCGACGCACCATGCCGATGCACGTAGGGGGCGGCCATTTTGGAAATGCTGATGGCAATAGAATGACCGTATTCATTTTTTTTTCGTACTCGATTCTAACGCGCATGCGATTAATCAACTCGCTTAACCGAAAAAAAGGTGGGCGTTAGATTCGAGTAATTACGGTATTTATTTTTTGGAAGGCCATATTTGTCAGAAGTTTAATGAAAAGTGTTAGTTAGGCCAGCTGTGATAAGTGAA